GCATGGGTTCATGGGGCCATTCACTTAAGTATTGAGAACACACACCTCATGAGGAGCATGTTTGCCTGATTGCTGCTTGCATTCCCGGCCAGTAAACGGATTCCTGGGCTATTCGTATACTACTGTTGGCACCTTAATTGGTGTGCTTTGTGTATCTTCTGTAAGAGCTCGGGTCTGAGTGATGTGGGAACAATGACTTGATGATATTTGAAAAGCACTCCATCATATACTGAAATCTCATCTCTGAGGTCCCAGTATGCTCTGATTTCCTCTGGTACTTCACTCTTTTGGTGGGGCCAGCCACCAAGTACCTTGTTGTTCAGTGTCATCAGTGATGGGTCTTTCTCAGTTTCCTTTCTGATCTGGTTCATTGTACCGGGTTTGACAAGGTATGTTGACAGGTCCATTTGTGTGAGATTCACATGAAACACATCGTAGTCTTGCGTCATTCTGGAGGGGGACTGGGTTCCACCATTGAGAGGTGCACGAGACAGAGTGTTGGCCACGAAGAGCTCTTTTCTTTTCTAGTACTGTACAGTGAATTGATAGTTCTGAAGTCTCAGCATCATTCTCTGAAGCCTGCGTGGAGCTCTGCTCAGAGGTTTTTTGAAAATTGTCTCGGGAGGCTGATGATCAGAGTGGACCATCATGTCTCACTTTCTATAAAGGTAATGATGCCATTTCACCATACAGGACACAATTGCCAAGCACTCTTTCTCAATATGAGCATAATTCTTTTCTGTAGCGCTGAGGGTGTGTGACGTGAAGCAGACAGGATGGCCCTCCTGAAGTAAGACCCCACCTATGGCACTGTCAGATGCGTCTACTTGAAGAGTCACAGGAAGGCTGACGTCATAATAGCGCAATACTGTTGTTGAGGCTACGAGAGTTTTGGCTGAGTTGAAGGCTGCCTCATGGCTCATGGACTTCTGACCAAAGGAATTCAGTGTCATCCCTAGTTAGTTTCCTCAATGGAAGGACTGTTTGGGACAGGTTTGGGCAGAACTTGGACAAGTACTGGCACATTCCTAGGAAACGTTGCAATGCGGCCTTATCTGCTGAGGTTGGTATTCCTGTGATCGCAGCTACTTTGCTTGGATCCGGCTGTACTCCATTTTTGGTAAGTCGGTGCTCCATAAATGAAACAGAGCTGGACTTAAATTGAATTTTTTTCATGGAGAGTCGAAGATCATGTTCATTACACTTCTCAACTAGATGGATAAGATTTCGGTCATGATCAATGTCAGCTTCTTAGTGTTGCCACAGCCATAAACACAGATGTCATCTGTGATGTTGATTACCCCATTCAATCCGTCCAGAAATTCATGTTGTCGCCGCTGATATTCTTCTGGTCCTGAGGCAATACCAAAGGGCATCCGATTGTTACAATAGCGACCATTTGGCCCCCGGAAAGTTGTTAGAAGGGAAGAGTCTTCATCCAGTTCAATAGTATGAAACGCCTCAGAAACATCAACGACGGTGAATACCTTGGCGTTTGTCAGAAGCGGTAGCCTCTCTTCGATTGTGGGTATGGTGTATTGGGGCCTTTTGATTGCCTTGTTTATGGTTTGGCTTAGATCGATGCAGATGCGAAGTTTGCCATTAGGTTTTTCCTTAACCAGCATATTGGACAGCCAATCGGTAGGTTGGGTTACCGGCCTTATAATTCCTTCTTCACAGAGCCTTTTCAGCTCTTCATTGACCCTGTTTAATTTTGCCACTGGAACACGGCGAGTAGGGGCATGAACAGGTGTGACTGATGGGTCCAAGTCAATGTGCATGGGGCTCCCAAGAGGCTTCCTGCGTCCTTGTTTAAAAACGTTGGGGTAGTGCTTTAGGATGTCCTCTGAAGTCAATTTGCCGAGTGCAGGCAGTTTCTGTGTGTTTCATGTGGTCTCCTCTTCGACTGCGTTTGTCTCGTCTGCATAGATGGTCAAATACTTTAAAGCCTGTGCCTCTCGTCCGCTAAGAAGTGGAGGCTTGTCATCTGGAACGTTCACCACTAGGAAGTCAATTGTGTGGAATTTGCCCTTCCTTTCACACACGAGGGTTACTTGACCTTCTGGTTTCGTTGTTTGGCTTCCGTAGGTGTTGATTCTGCTTTTTGTCTTTGAGATCTTCAAATTCGGGAATAGCTGGCTTAATACTGAACCTGGCATAGTGTTACAGGTCGACGCCGAGTCGATTTGAGCTTTAACAATTTTCGACTGCCTCCCATGGATGAGGTGCAGGTGAGTGAAGAATTTCTTTGCACCGACTGGCGCTGCCTGATCATTGATAACAAATGCCTCTTCATCAGGGTCATCATCAACAAAAATCGATCACTGCTGTCGTCTTCTACCAATTCTCGTTCCTCCTCTGCATGCACGAGCAAAATGGCCAATGATTCCACACTTGTTGCACCGTTTCGCAAACGCTGGACAATGCTGTTGACAAGGGCTGGGATGTTCACCGCAACACCAGAAGCAGGCCGCTGTTAAGGTATTGGAGCTGCGGTATTCGGGTTTTGTCTTCTTTGTGAAGTTTACCTGCTCCTGCTGGTTGCCTCAGGCATTTTTCATTAACTGGTTTGCAAATGTGGTTGTCTCATGGCTTTTGGCTATTTCAACAACTTCTCGTAGAGTGACTTTTGATTGAGCTGCATCTCGATGCCTGTGGCCTTTCCCAATCAGTTTTACGCGGAGAGATTCAGATGTTAATCCCGCGATGAACTGATTTCTCATCAATTCATCAGTGAAGTTTTCTTACTCGCACTGTGCAGCTTGATTGCGAATCCTTGTTTCCCAAGATGCGATGGATTCCTCTTCATTTTGTAGCAGGGAAAGGAATTTTTGCCTCTCGCCCTGAGACCCCGATGCTAGCGCCATAGTACTCTTTCAGAGCATTGATAACCGTGTGCGGTTTGCTCTGATCTTCTTCAGACAATCCTAAACTGTATTTGTAGATCGCTCTGGCTGTAGGGGATAACGATGCTCGAAGACATACCATCGCTTTCTCTGGTTTCGTCCACTTCGCTGCTTCTGTTTCCTTGGATGGATCAAACCAGTTTTGCATAATACAGTAGTTAACTAAGTCTTAGATGTAGACCTCCACATTGTGTTTATCATCCCCCGTTGTTTTGAATTACTAGAAGGGAGTGTTTGAGGCCATATCGCTCATCGGCTTGAATCTTCTTGACTGTGAAATTAAGAGACAAGCACCGCTGCCACCATGTTGACCGTTACTTATCGTGTTCAAAACTGCACTTTTAATGAGCTTGTCCACAGGTATATACGGGTGCAGGTGCAGATATGGTAATTACATGTATTGTGGTTGGTGGGTGTGAATAACAAAGGTGCCAGTGTTGAGGTGCTAATTACAATAGTTGTGCAACATGCTTATCTTGGTATATAACAATAATCAATCAATTATTGCTGAAGGATTAAAATCTAGCATATACATGTGTGGGGAAAAACTGTGCCAAAGGTCTTGGATACCATCTGAGGCCATAGGCCAACTTATGGTGGTGGATAACAAATTTTATTTTCTTCTGACACTTAACAAAGTGGTTGCCCAAAGAACCCAAATGATTTAGGACTTAGGCCATAAACTTAACAATTTTTTAGCAAGTGGATGATAAAGAAAACAGATGTTATTCAAATTAAAGAAAAAGCTTTCACCGAAACATAAAGGTAACAAAGGTAACAATGAATGAGAGTCACACTGATTAATGTAATTGTTATCTATAATTACCTCTTGTTTTAACTTTCTAAATTACTTTTTGTGAAGGATTATTAAATAACAAATTGTGTTTAGGCCAGGATTCAATCTTTTTAAAAACAAATGTAGTACCACAAAATTTATTTCGAAATCAATTTTGCGGAAAAACCAAAGAGATTTGAGAGTGAGAGAGAAGAGGGAATTAATCTTGTTGATCGCCAAAGGTCGTTACCAAAGTCTTCACATAAAAATTCTGCCCAGCCAGATTGTAAACTGCTCAGCATATGTTCTACAGTTTTCATACTACTGTAGATAGTTACTGGCATGTTGTGTATTGTACATGTACCTTTCCTTATAAAAGGAAAAATATGAAGAAAAAAAATTGCTTAAATTATACTACATGGGGAAAATAACAACAAAGGGAATAAGCATGAGCCAGTCAAAAGAGAGTTAGACTTTTTCATTGGAAAATTGTTCACATGATTACATTGGTGGGAAAATGACCTGAAATCCCTTTCAGATGCATGTACTTAAAGGTATGTTTGATGTTTTGTGATGCAGTCTAACATGTAACCTACTTTCTGAAAGAGCTTAGGGCACCAGTGGTTGATAAGAATGAAATAACGGTAATTTTGGGAATTTGGGAGGAGATTATTATAATGATACAAATTTGTAGAACAAGCAACATGGAGACCATTAATGTTGATTGGAACAAATTAAGGTTATCACACTGCAAAACATTAGGACACCATGTGAGCACTATATTTAGCTCCACACGTTATTTTGACAAGTACATGTGTGTTTCTGTAAGAGGTTCAAATTAGAAGGTTATGTTGAGGACCATACAATATTACAAAAGTTGAATAGGGAAAAAAAGCCAGTTACTTTACCATAAATTTTTAGAATTTTTATGGGAAAGTTTTCGTTGTACAATTCCCTATAAGGTGGTACATGTACATACATGGTGCATCTCATTCTCAAAATAAATTGAAAGGAATCACACAACTTGCCAACAACATTTAAGCCCGAGATTTCAGGATAGTTTTAAAATTCAACATTTTATTGGATGGCAAAAACTTGTCATCCAGCAGCTTTCTCTTACAAGTTATGCCATTCTTTAAATATCACTGTCATGTGACAGACGTGCAGAGCTCTTTTCATTCCTGTAAAAATGGGTCATGAGTTAAAGGTTGAAGGCAAATTTCAGGCTGCAGGTTCTTGTGGGAATATTATATTGTGCCTTGAGTTGTGATGAAAGTTAAGCCTTAACATGCAAGAATGTTGTGTGGTTATCTTGTTAGGTTTTCGAAAGATGCAACTAAAGCTTCCAAAGTGTGACTGTGTTGTGGAAGTTCATGATGCAAGAATATCCTTTACTTTGATCTTGATTGACCACAGTGGGTCAAGGACGTTTCATTTATTTTGCACCTCAACATTCAACTTAATCATCAGTCTTTCTCTCCCACTTGTGCCTGTCTTTTTCATCACAAATATTCCTCCTACACACAGTGCATACCCATGCACCTGCAGACATACCCATGTCAATCAAGGTTGAGGTCAGCATTAAATTCTATACAGAACATTCTTTGGAAAATTTTAAAACCCAAGAAGATTGACAAAAATGTGAAATTTATTTCTTTACTCTAGGTACATTAAAAGCATGACAAGACTTTTTATCTCTTAGGCCCCTATATGTAGTCTGTGACTTTTTAACATAACTCCTCTTCAAGTTTATTGACTTTTCTAGGAATGTTGCTATGGCAAAGTGTACTGAATAACTTTAAGGGTTTCTCTAGGTTTTTTGATTGAAGTTCTCTGGAACATACTTTGATGCTCTAATGTTGATAAAATATTAAGACACCTAATATATGTTTACTAATGGTTGTCCTAGAATTCCATACAACTCCTTCTCAGTTTATTTTCAGTTTCTGAATATACTTCTCATCAAAGGTACATTTTTATATTCCTTGACTGAGGTATAAATTCCCTTTACTGGGAGAAATCCCAAATTTCAAAATAATTTATCAAGCAGGCCACATGTACTTGTGCTTAACAAGATGGATCTCATAGGAATGGCCAAGCAAAGGGTTTGATTATTGTTATTTTACTCCAAAGGTAGACAGCTGTATTAGTAGCCTTCTGCAGGGTGCAACAAAAGTGCTGTTGGATATCAGGGGGCTAGTGAAAATTCCCCGTCCAGCTATGATGTTTTTATCGCATATTAGAAAACCCATTGCTATTGGGTTGTTCTTGCTTAGTTGTTCTTTTATGGTTCACCTTGGCTGCTACAGATTATATTTTCTTGTTTTATTTTCCCACTGGGCCATTGGCTTCAACAGTTTACATTTCTTTCTATTGGTTGCCTTTGTGCACACCAGTACAACAGTTTTGTCCAGCATGGCAACAGATGTAAGTTTAGCTTATGTCCCCTAGTTTCCATAGTTAATTTCTTTATTTTCTTCAAGTCGTTTTGTAACTTTAAAGTACCGGTAATTAATCAGTGAACATTGTAATATATTTACTGTACAAAATAATTAATATATTTTCAATTTTACCATTTCCTTTCTTTCTGTTTTTCTGTTCATCCTTGCTTATTCACTTCAGTCTTCATTACATTCCACCTTCTATGCTGTAATCTATTTAGTAAGTCATCAGTATTAAAGAATGCATTCAAATCTATTCGTGCTGTAGTCATGCCTATGATAGTTAAAAGACTAATGTACTGTTTTCAACTGGTGTTTGCAAGAAATGGCAAAGCTAGGGAAAATTGAAGACTGAACATGTAGATGCTAGCTTCTTAAACAGGGATTGATAACAACAATGATAGCCTTTAAATTGTAGGAGATCCTGAGGCAACTGGAAAGTGAGGGAACTAGAGCTGTGCTTACTGACAGTAAATCACAATATCATTACAGCATTAAAAGGGTAAACAAAAAAATATGGTCAAATACACCTGTTTGAGATTAAACATGTGATTTGTTTATGAGCATATTGCAGTTAGTTTACACTAATAATGACTTCATTTGATAACATCTCTTTTGCTATCATCTTGTTGTTTTTCATAGTGCAGGTAATACAAAATATAATCTATTTTTGTGTTGTGGCCTTGTAATTGGTTATACAGGTCCCCCATTCAAACCAGCTTCAAAGCTGGACTGGGCCATCCTGTCCAACATTGAAAATAATTAAATAGAAAACACAAATAAATTCATTGAATTAGACTCTTTTCATCAACCCTGACCAGGCAAGCTTCATTAATGATAGATATATTGGACAAAACATTAGTGAATTAATTTACTTGTAGTACAGAGGGGAAATTAGATTGCAACAGTAGAAATTGTGATATACATATCCAGCTTCCTAAAGTTCACTGAAGTCAATGGTGAACCTAAAATTGATTGTGTTTTAAAATATTACTGGTAATTCACAAGTTATTAATATCATTATTGACTTGCTTTACAGGTTATACCAGCTGTCCTTGAAGCAGTAAAGGATGCTGAATATGAAGGAACATATATTAGATCAGTCAGTAGATATCTTTGGTTATTGATATTTCAAAAATGTTTCTTTATAAAATTACTCTGCAAGTTAAGGAATGTGCAGTAATTTTTATATTAAAATGGGAATAAAGTAGCAATATAATCCCTTGAAATCACCCTGAAATTCTAGCCATAACATTTTTATTCCCCATTCCAAAGGTTCACTAAGAGCCTCCAGAAGACGTGTTATATTTAGATTGCAGTACCAAACCAGTGGAGCTTTTAAATTATTGTACAATTTACTTACATTTTGGGTTGGTGATGGCTGTAATTGCTCCTTATGACATTACACATACCCTTGTCTATAATTTCTAGTTGGACCAAACTTGGACATCAAGGGCATGAATAGTATCTTCCTCTTTTAACAAAATGGTTCGTATACCTGTAAAGGAAATTTCTAACAGATTGGGGTTTTTTGTTTTAATTCTTTTTCATATTTTTGCTTTTCATTAAAAATAAGAGGTTCCACAGGTTCCAGAATATCCGTGGTCTGCTAACCCACAATTTAGTAACACCCTGAAATGTGTGTCCTGGGTCTGAAATAGTCATGCAAAATTGCCTCAGGATCCTTAGTTTGTTAAAATATGTCAAAAGGGTTTGACCCACTCTCTATTTAATGTGAAAACAGGACTAATCTGAGTTGAAAGACTGTTCAGTTTACATTCATTCAATCACAAAATCAAATGAAAAAAATCTGTAATCAGTGGTGAAGTATGTTAACCATGTAATGAATTATTTCCCTTGCACCAATATAAATTATCAATAATATTTCTGAGGGTCACATATAATTATGTTAATTATTGTGAAGTATTATTACTTACTTTAACTAAAGAGAGAATCTTGTAATAATTGATTATCATAACTAAAACTCCCAAACATTGGAATAAGAATGACTTTTTTCATTAAATTAATTATTCTTCTGAAAGTATATTTAATAACTAGACCTGACCCATGACACCAACAGTAAATGAAAAAAATCAGAGTGAACACCAGCCTACAATGACGTTAGCAGTTCAACTTTCCTGTCTATAAATTGCAATCCAAGCAGCATAAATATCTCTCAGGAATATCAAATATTTTGAAAAAAGTGACTGTCTTTCAACTTTTGCATATAGAATCCAGACAAGCCTTACAATATTTTGATCTGTGGTTTGCCAAATACTGGAAAGTCGTCTTTGGTAAATGCACTCCGAAGAAAATACATGCGAAAAGGTATTTTTTTAATTTTTCATCAATCTTCAGCCTTCTCCCTGTACTAAGAAATTATTAAATGGAGCCTGATGAGATGCCGGTAATGCTAAAATAAAATTTAAACAGCAAAATTGAACTAAATTGAACCAGTTCAGCAGTAAGTTTCATGCACTTAGAAACACTTGGATTTTTTCTCCTCAACAATGAACTTCTTTAATTCTCCTAAGTTTCTTTTCTAGTGTGTCTTTTTATGTTGCATTTCTTCATCTTCATTTTAATTTAAAGGGTAATTACATTAAGTTAGTTGAGGGAAAAAATGACCTATGTGGATTAGCATTTGCTATCTGTGGGTGAAAGGAATGTCTTGTAAATTAATGTATATTAAATGCAGAGTTAGAAAAGTGCAAAAAAGGCAATGAAGAGTACCATGGTAATGGTTCTGAATGTTGCTCTCCCACAACACATGCACATTTGAGAGACAAAGTGTAGTTACTGTAATTTAATTTTCCTGCCTCCAGTGGCAAATACTTTGTGAATTTGTGGAACATTTGATTTAAACTGTTTATTATTAAAATATGGTTATCATATTGTTTTCTTGGTTTGTGTGAAGGCAAAGCAACCAGAGTGGGTGCTGTTCCAGGGATAACAAGATCCATACAAGAGAAAATTAAGGTGCTTACAAACTTTATCTACACACTGTATGTAAACATTTTTCCATGTGCATCAGCTCAAGAAATTGAAATTGCTTTCTTTGAAAGGTGAAAAGCATTAAAAAGGAACTTTGTAACCCTAAACAATCCTTATTTTCAATGGTCTTGACTTAACTAGTTTGAAAAGTTGCAATTTCAGAAACACGTGTAGTTTCTTTCTTTTTTTTTTTTTACCCTGGCTGTTTACTCATTGTTCTATAATGGTATAATTATTTTAATTAATGTGAACTATACAAAGTTTGTGAATATATCAAAATCATGTAATTATGTGAACTGTGGTAAAGAAATGAGTATGAGAGCGATCTTTGCAGTGATGAATGCTACCTAAGCAGTAGAGAAAATAATGCCCGAAAAAAATTCAGGCCTGGACAGGAATGGAACCCATGACCTCTGTGATACAGGTGCATTGCTCTACCGACTGAGCTAACAAGCCAAATGGGAACTGGTCATTATGTTAGTTTGTAATAAACCTGCGAGGTGATGAGTGGATGTTTATTGTTCATATAAATTATGTAGTTGACATTATACGATTTTCACATAGGCACTGGTATCGCAGAGGTGCATGGGTTCGAATCCTGTACAGTCCCGAAGTTTTTTTCAGGCCTTATTTTCATTACTGCTGAAGTAGTGTTCATCACTGTGAAGATTGCCTTCATACTTAAATGACCTATACACTTCAAATATGAAGTTTCAGGGCATCTGCTCTCCCCTTTTACATGTATGTGCCATGATGTCAATTTTTTTGTTAGTTCCATATTTCTGTTCCTTCATCTGATCATCATTATTGATTATATAGCCACTCATTCTCCAAAACAAGAATAAAATAAAATGATAATAATTTTGATATAGTAAGGCTCTGGGGTAAAACTGAACAGTTTATATTGTACAAGTTATTCCTTTTCTTTCTGTCTGTTTCCTAATCTTTTTGTTATGTAAAACCAAAACATGCAACTATCTGATGTAAATTAAAAATGCTAACGATAGGAACTCTGGCTCTTATGGATTCATTTCTACAACTGTATACACTACTGACCTTAGTTACACTCATTGCACAATAACTGATTTTTAGAAAGGCATTTTTGGTATTGAAATTATATCTTGCAGGTTTGTGATGAGCCAGTAACATACATGATTGACACTCCAGGTAACCCGTGTAGTTAAGTAATCTCAGTCAGTTAACTTACATGATTGGCTGATAATACAAAGTCATGTAGATCAGCAGAATGCTACTTTTTTACTTACAATGCTTCTCATTTTTTCAGGTGTGGTGGCTCCATATATACCAACTGCAGAAGTAGGAATGAAGCTAGCATTAATAGGTATGGCTTCATTTAAAGCATAATTATTAGAGCATTGCTGGGTTTCAGCCAGTCTATACTGTACAATTATTATTTTATGATCATACAGTGTTTGTTACCCAATGATAATGTACTGGTATATCAAAATGTGTTGATAACACACCTCATCATAAAGCTACCTTGAATTGTTTGGGTCAATTTTTCCACCAAAGTCAAGTAACTTACTGATAGTCGTTTTAACTGAAGTTAACAATCCATCAATTTCTCTGTATACCAAAATCCTTGAAAGTTATTCAGTAACAAGTTTCCCAGCTCATCAAATCAACTATGGCATCAACAAAATTAATGACTCTTGACTGATGATGACTTCTGCTCAGGTTGTCAAAGTGTCAGTGGCTCCCACCACCAAGTGTCATTGTCAGTCATTATGACCAATTGTTGTGGTTTAAACATTTACTGTTTGATAGATTGTGTAGTTTTAGAGATAATGGGTTCATCCCAATAATTACCAGTATGCCCCTCGATGATGACTGTTGAGTTTTGATTATTGCAATGACTTTCCCCATATAGTTATCATTACCCCTTACACGTAGCTTCCAGGGTACAAAACACTTTTAAAATGTCTTATAGTAATAGATAAATCAGTTCTAATACTCCATGTTATTGAAGGTTGCTTTAAAGATCATATTGTTGGTGAGGAATTGATTGCTGATTATCTGTTGTATACCTTGAACAAAGAAAAACGTTTTGAGTGAGTTCCATATGGTGTTACCTAAGATTTGTAGAGTACAGTTAGTGACTGTTTTGGTGTAGTGTATGAATAAGTATTATTACATGACTACTAACTAAAGTTTTCTCTGAATATCTAAAAATAAAAAAGGCATCAACCAGTAATATTGAAAAAGACATTACAACATGATATATCTTTTGGGTCTTTCTAAAAGTACAAGTAACAAACTCCCTATATGAAAATTAAACTTAGTTATGAGGAGCTTTGGGGTGAAAGAACCTTAGCAAAGGGTACACTTGTTAAAATACATACTACAGTTAGGATTACTTGCATTGAATTCCAAAACTGTTTTGCCCTATTTCCAACCACCACCTTTCCCGTTCCCACCCCTAACTCCATTGACAGTGTGGTTAATTGTTAACCAGAGATAAGAAACTAATGGGTGTCAAGGGTACAAAGGAGCAAGGAGAAGGAATTACAATTACAAGAAAGAATTCAAATGATTCAGGAAAACTGGATCAGGTGTACATGTTCATACCATGTTTAGTCTCACTGGTGAGAATAAACTGAAAAAGCCATTTAAGTTTTCTATCTACTGTAGGTCTGTTTTCTCTTCTGCTTTTGTGCCATCTTCTTTTACCTTCTTATGGGTTAAGGGTGTGTTCAGAGGTAGTTGGGTGCTCTTTGCCATAGGCAGCTGTCCAGAAGTTGAGATTTGACTTGACATGCACCCTTTTTTAGTTCATCTCCAAACATATGTAATTGTGATCTTTTTGCTTACAGCAAACATAAATTTGGTGATTAAAGTAGTGATGCTTATGACAAATTGTAACATTTTAGAAATGTTACTGTTCTCCTAGATATGTGGAAAGTTTTGGCCTCATGAACCCTAGTGATAATGTGAACTTTGTCATGAGACAGTGGGCTAACAAACTAGATGCTACAATATCGGGTATGTTGGAAACAATAGAAATATTTCAAAGACGTCTAGCATGTTATTGACATCATAAAAATTCACACACTTTCCAATCAACTTTTTTGTTCAATCTTCTATACTTACAGTTTCTTTCTTAAATTTGATTGCACAAGACTTGTTTTAATTGTTGTAATTGTGAATTATTTTGTTGTAGCTTTGTCAAATTTGTGACTGTTTTATTTTTTAAGGTGGAGTACCAGATTATCGCAGAGCTCATGTTGATTTCCTCAAAAGGTTTAGAAGAGGAATGTTGGGACATGTACTACTTGATCGTCAGTTACTCAAGGAAAAACAAAATTTTTTACCAACAAGTCTGGGACAGTAAACATGAAAAGGATTGGCACTGTTGTTCATCAGTGCCTTTCAAGCATAGCAGCAATTGCCCACATTTGGCAATAGGATGGAGAGCTTTCCACACTTTTAATGCCACACTGCCATGTTTGGCTGGGTTTACAGAATTCCTCTCTTCTGTGACTTGATACAGAAGGCAGGGCAGTCCCAGCAGGCAGCAATAGTATTTATGAACATGTAAAATAAAATTATTTGGTTTGATTGTTAGAGTTTTGAGACTTAAAGATTTCTTTCTTTTGTTTGTGTTTTCTAAATTTGTTGCATTCAATTAATATTTAATTTGACATAAACCTGTAAGATGATAAATCAAACACAATGAATAAATGAAATTCATGTATCTGAACTGCGGTTATAGAAATATTCACGATCACCGCACGTAAACCACCACGATCACCGCAGTAAAGAGCACTATTTAAGCAATAGTGAAAATCAGACCTGTAGAATTCAGGCCTGTTAACTTGATGACCTGCTCCCAGTTGGCCTTTTAGCTCAATTGGTAGAGTGCTGCACTAGTCTTGCAGAGGTCAGTGGTTCAAATCCCGTACTGGCCTGAATTTTTCAGGTCTGATTTTCACTATTACTCAAATAGTGCTCTTTACTGCAAGGATTGGGCACAAATACATATATTTGTTAAAAGTTGAATACACAGTTTACATCTACTTCACTTACAGTTTTAGTCCAGATGTCCCCCAAGACAAGCTTACAACATTCAAGCACATAGCTATACTCATCATTGATAAGTTTACCCGACAAGAATCAATAAAGCTTATATTTTTAACAAGAAATACGGTAGAGCCCCCTGATTAACCTTAAACCTCACCGAGTCAAACAAGATGCAATTTCCCATTTTTTCCAGTCATTTACTATCAGCTAACTTAAATTCAAATTACCTGCCAACTCAAAGTGATTCTACTTGCCCTTGGCTAATATTTATCCAGACAACTTGAACTTAAATAAAATCATAGGTCCATAACGGTCAAAGTGACAGAACATAGCTCATTAATGTGTCCCAATCTTCAGCTAAACTTCCCAAACTAAAGATTCTTAAAAAAAAAAAAAAAACGCCTCAGAAAGCAAATTTATTTTACTAAACCGATGAATGATAAACATGATTACTTGTTAGCTCAAACCACCGACTGACATTTTTTGCAAGTTAGTGGGGTTCTACTGTATGTATTGTCACTTGTGACAAGAAAAGAGGAACAAACTTCCCATGCTCTGCCATTAAATCGTAAACAATTGGAATCTTGTTCAGTACTTCACAAACCATATAAAGAGCTAAAACAATTGAAAAATTCCCATAATTCAGAAGTGCCCAAATTTGCTTACATGTATATACATGTAATATAACATTCACGAAGAACTTGACACTTCTTAAATATAGAGATATAAAACACTTTCATGCCTCCGAATATTTCAAAACAATACCCTCGCGTCCAATACCCATGTATAATACAACGACGGCACAATTAAGTGCGTGTTTGTGCGTTATGATTGTTTACACAAGCTTTGCATAAGTAATTAGTTTCAGAGTGCACTTTGTGGCTAACCCCCAAAACGTAGCCGAGTTTGTCCAGCTTTACCTACTCAAGACTAACTGCTCAAAATCAAAATTACTATCACACTACTCTAATCAACAATTGAATATTTCTCCGAGAAGCTCAATCGGAATAATTCTTTTATCAACTATTCTGGAGGTGATAAATCAAGATGGTTAACCAACAAGCTAAATTTTCAACTGTTTATGCACGTTTTTCGAATAATGTTAGCATTGATTTTGTCTTAGAAGATAAAAATGCAACTGAACGTTTATCTTTCTCCAGCTATATCATCTTCCTGGCTTGCCAAAGAAATTTCCTTCCTTGGAGTATCATCATTTGTTGCTAACAAACAAGCGCGTTCCTCGTCCATCTTGCCTTCGCTCAATTCATCTTCTTCTGGTATCTCTGGCAACGCTTTCTTCTTTTGCCGAGCCATGTTCAGCAGTTGAACTCGCTGAGCGAACGAAAAAACGATTCGTGTTATGAGATGATCCACATGCTCCTCAAATTCATCGAAACTTTTTTGATTCTTCTTAGCCATCAACTTATTCATCCATTTTCCACGAGTTGAACTTTCCTTAACATGGTTTTCAATCTTGTGTAGGGTTTCTTTCAGATCGCTGTAGAATTCGGCGCGGCGTATGAATTTCACATCTGCCCCGTTCAAAACTTTGGTAATCTGCTTGAGTACAGGCACAAATCGAAGGACATAAGCTTTATTGTGCTTGGCGCTGGCGATCGCCCAGTGAATGTTGTCAACAATGGCAAAAATGGATCCGCGAGAAGCGAAGCAGCTCTCACTATTGGTGGCCATCAGTGAATTTGTAACCCCTTCCTCCTTCATTTGTTATCCAGACTTCGTTTCTGAGCTTCAAATACAAGTCAACAAGTATACTGCAATTCCTTTAATGCTTCCCCGAAACCAGTTGACAAACCCAAGAAAATTCAAGTCTTTGGGTAACATACACGCGTTAACTACCCTCGTCAAAAATTACTTGAAAGATTTCACGCAGCACCAGTAAACCTTTGAATCCCTTACTGCCATCCAGGTCTTCCTCGCGAACACCATAAAAAAATTCGCTCATCTAGGAAAGTAGGAATTGTCTTGATTGATCTAATAAGGAAGTTCACACGAACAGGTTAGTCCCTCTAACAAGACGTTCATGTACAGCTTGTGAAACACTCGAGTTGTTCTCGTGGTTTATCATACTTGATTAACCTGCTAAGACCTGATTTACATACTGTCCAGGGTAGTCTTGTACGTACAAAACAACAACAGTTAAAATAGGTATCTTCATAGTTAAGCAAACACAAAGTTTCACAAAGTTTTCTATTTGCTACATTTCTTTAATATGACGTATACAATATTCAATAATCATCGACAAGAATTGAAAAAAATACTCCGCACAAATGTCCTCCTTAACCTCTCCCTGAGCGTCGTAAAGTGGTTCGTATGACATTAAGTAGTTTCTGAACAATATTATTGGCCGACTCCGACATCGTTCTTTCGCAGGTGATGACGTGCTTAGTAACGACATGTATAATTTTAATTTATTGCACAATATTTTTAAGTTTTTGCATGCATGAATCCGTCTACCACAGCCTCAATCGCTGGGAAAAAAAGTAAGCCAAGAATAGCGGAAATCGATATTACTGAGGCAGGAAGGGGACAGTTGTAAGTAGACTACAACTTTAGGAATGGATTCTTTTCCTTGTATGGGCTGCTTGATAGCTTCTAAGAGAGCAATGAGCTGGTGGAGTAGCTTTAGGAGACAAAGCTACAGATATAGTGAAAGCGAGAGATCGCGTGGTATATTTGTATTTTCATGGTATATCAAGTGGTTGAGTAATCATTGTGGACAGGATGCTGTTACATGCGAGAATTTGCATGGCTTTGTAAGATTTTGCTTTCTGTGTAAATAGAAACTAGCGAGGGGAGCTTGATATTTTAACTGGATGATTTTTTCTTGCTCCTTCTTTGGGCTCTAGCCTAAATGACAATTGCATACCTGTGGGAATTCGCCTAAACATATCAAAGAGTACAGCAAACTCGAATCATTTTTGTAAGCCCCCCAACTTTGGAAACTCGACATCTCCCAGCCACGATGGCCAAGCCCACTCTTTATTTTGAGCTACGACAGGGCACGAAGCTTACCATGAATCAAGCGCCGGAGACAGTCCGAGAATTCTTCCTAACAGACACCTTTAGTGACTAATGTGAGCAAAACCTCCCCTCCTCAACCCTGAGCTTTACAAAACTAACTGACAACAACCCATCCTCCAGTGTGGCAATTTCTTGCCTGCTTGCTGTCCTATCATTTTAAGCGACCGGCTGGCTGGCTTGAAGGCGGACATCGAGGGAAAACTGACCTAGCCGGGACACAGCAGTCAAATGTCTTTACAAGTCAGTGCAAAAGTTGTGGGGTCGTGGCTAGGGGCTTTCAGGTTGTAAGAAGCAAATACCTGAGCTACATAGGTCACGATGTTTCAAAAGCATACAAAATTTTTGATAAAGCTCAAAACTGTGAAATGGTAAATCAATAGAATGCCCGTAGTCAAATAAGATATGTGCTAAATTCTTCCTTTTCCTTACTTTTGTTTCACTCTATGAACGTTTCTATGTGCACCCCTCTGAAGGGTCTTAGCGTGCGGAATGTTTTTTTTGTTTTTGTTTTTCTCATTCAATCAATCATTGGGGGGTCTCTTTGTGTTGTCGCTGTTTCTCGTCGTTCGTTAGTATTTTTTCGCTGGTTATTTAGCTTCTGTTGTTTCTATGCCACGTATTTTTGTTCCTTAGTTTCTTTCTTAATATTGGCGTTAAGTGCACTTTAAGTTAGCTAGTCGTTTTCGCATATAAAACTTAGTCTTTCTCAGTTCAGAGTTTTAGTCTTCCGTTGGCCATGCAGTAGTTCGCTTTGAGCAGTTACTCCAGTTTATCCTTATTTCGCCTTTGGGCAGTTTATATTTGTCCAGCAGTTTCGTAGAAATCGTAACAATGTACGTATTGTCATTTCGAGTTCGTTCAGTGCATTTCTTTCCTGTCACTTTTACTAGTAAATTGGTTTAATTTCGTATTCATTTATTGTTTTAAGTTTCAACCCACATACCGTCAACATCATTCGTACCGAATAAATCGTCTTTATGATTGTGGTGTTGTGAGGTTACGATTACTGCAGTTACACCCTCCATATTTTGCGCGACGTGGTTGTTTGTTATTTTTTCTTTAAAAATTTATTGTGGGAAACTGGCACATGGCCGTCGAGATTGATCTTCTTGCTAAACGTTTGATTGGCGTACTGCTAGCGAGCTGGAGTCGGCAGCGTCAACTCGGCTCCAGCCCCTTCCAAACCCACTTCTTAAGACACTTGACAGTCCTCGAGCAATGAAGTCCGAACCCACGGGCTGAGCTATCTGGGGGCATAAGCCTGACTGCCGGTCATGTAAAATATACTTTAAAAAACATAAGGGAACGAAGGTGATATTTTGCAAGAAGCCCCTATGACCTAAGAGCAGCGTCCAGTTGATTCAGGGTACAAAACCTACCCCACCCCACCTCTAAACTTTCGGCACATAGCTTTTAGCTCCCAGTCATAATCTGGTCCCTGGGCTGCGCGAAAATAGCCAGGCTGGCTAAATTGTTTCAGGTATAGTTCTTGTATCTGAAAATGTTGGTGTAACTGGAGTAGTTTGCGTAGTTAGTGTAATGGCGTATTTGGTCCAGTCTGGAGCAGCAGCAATATTTGGTGCAGTTTGTGCTACAGTGCAACGATATCCATAACCCAGGACCACATGCTAACCTAGATCCTGGACTTACTAGTAGTTTCCACGGCACCGGTGTCCTAGCGGATTTAGATCCCCCTAGATTTGGACCCCCGTTCCAAATCCGCTAGCGGATACGGACCCCCATGGACATTTATCAAATTTCTGAATAGCTGCCTCGATTAGTTCTTCGTTAAATGCTTTCCACTTTGTTTTAGTCCTCGGGGACTGGCAACTAGATGTCTACGCTGAAATCCATCCTCGTATCTTTTTCTCTGATGGTCGGTTCTCTGTTTGCGCTACTTTTGCAAATAAGTCTTTTCATTCCTAAGGCTAGGAGAAAAAGGGCCCGAACGTCCTGTTAATGTGGAAGCCGTCACAGACGAGCAGTTCGTAATTAAAAATGCAGTGATGTCATCCTCAGAGGATTTGAAAGCAAAGTTCAAGTACTTTCTAACAATGACGTACGCAGCCCATTAATTACTTCCAGAAGCACTTCATATTTAAAGCTAACATATTATACAAAAACAAAATGATATGGAAATTTCCAACTAAAAATTTATTTTAGTTTTATTGGGACAAAAATTTGTGAGAAAATTTAAAAGACAACAAAAAGACTTTTAAAACACAGGACTTCACTGTAACATTTCTTTAATACATTGTAACGCCGCACAGTACAAATATATTAACGGTCTTTACCCATCGACAGGTGCAAAAAGAATTTTTAAGTTTTGAAACGAAGCTCAGGGCCTGTTCGCACTACGCAAAATTTCGTTTGTTTTGCAAAAGAAATCTGTCAAGCCGACACCATTTTCACTGCTAACGAATTTTTTGACCGACCAAAATTTTTGAAAGTGCCACCAAACTTCACAGTTTTATTTTTCCTTGACAGATACCCTTCAACTGGCCATCATATCTCGAAATTGAACGTAGTGTTAATAAGTTGTCGAGTAACTCTCTCCTCATTGTCAAATGTCTACGGAAAAAGACTTCATGGAAGTTACAATTTCAAACCAGGATTCTACAGGTCGACGGCGGCGTCGACGTCTGTTGAGCAGTTGAGTTTAAGTCTCCATGATCCATAAAAGCCGCCCAATCCTTCCAAACAAAACCAGAAGTAATTGTTGAAAAGCCACAATCAGGTTTTGCATGGCAAGCAAACAGCAATTAAAGAAAGGCGATTAAAACATTTCGCGGGGGCATTTCGCTTTGCGATCAGTCCTTGACTAGAAACGATATTAAAGGACTATCACAAATTCTCGGTACCCATTTCGATTACTTGAAATTTGTAGTTACACAAAATAGTGAAATGAAATTAAGCGTAACAATAGCCAGCCCCGATGGAATTGTTATATTTCTGAGGTACCAAAAAAGGCTAATAAGCGGATGTTCTTTTTCACATTGCTTAAGCGCGCCGAAGTTCCGGCTCGTGATATCATCAGTTTCTATCTTACTTATATTAGACCTATACTCGAATATTGTGCCCCTCTTTACCATCATGCACTGCCTGATTATTTAAGCAACGACGTGTTCAAAAACGTGCCATGTCTGTAATTTGACCAGGCCTATCATGATATCGCTACAACTTTTCATTGTTTAACCTGAACTCACTGAAGGATAGACGTATCGAGCTATGAAATAAAATTTTCGAACCAATAGTGTCCAATACCGAGCACACGCCTCGTCATTTTTTGCCACCGAAGAACCATATTACTTATAACCTTAGAAATCAAAGTCAGTTTTTCAACCCAATGATGTGCACCAAGCGTTTCTCCCAGACATATTTACCAGCCATGTGTAGGCAATGGGTTCTGTATTATCATTGTATTATTCTTGTAAATAATATGCTCTGTAAATATAATTGATAATCTTAGCCAGTATTGTATTGTAAATAATCATGCAATTCAGCCTTAGTGGGCTGCCATGTGATTTTCAATAGAGCTATCTATCTAGCACTTTGCGATCAATGTGTTGAATAATGAAACAGTTATCCCCCTCATATCCTGCGGATATCCTCTGAGTTTCGTCTGTCGACTTTAATCAGTCTTATTTGAAGCACTTGGCGGTCTCCCCGATGAAGGAGATGTGGCGGTCGGAGCACTTGATCTTGTTGTTCGGTTCGTCTCTGTTGATTGGAAAATGGCGTAGCGGAGTGATGGGTACATTTGCAAAAAACAAGTTAACCAATCTGAACAACCTAAGATTACCAAGCGAAAAATAAAAATTACCAATCACTACCACCTTACACCACTTCATCTTACCACAAAACTGACCGATCAGCTCACGACAAACGCACTTTCAGCATTCGACTGATAACAACTTTACAGTTAACTCATAAGATGACTTCCGCTAAGATTGTAGAAACGTCACTTACCCGTACCGGCAACATCCAGCCATTGCTTTTACCTCCAGAATCACTAAAACCCCCAAGA